ATCTATTCTGATTTAGGGAACTCGAAATTTTGAGAGTATGCGGAAAATTTTGAAACTTTTAGGCTATCTCAAGCCATGGGCTATAGGCCAAATGTAGCCCCAAAAATGCGTAAAAATGGGCCAAAAAAAGAACTCAAGCCAAATTTTGAGAGCCACATTTAGCCTTGGGCCCTTTTCCTAGGCTACATGTAGCCCAACTTAGCCCAGGTCAATTTTTTTGTGAGCCTAGAGAATGTGCTAACCAACTAGAGGAAGAATCACGCGTGGGCGTGATCAAGGGATCAGTTCGTGCAGCTCGAAACCAACAGACGCATTCATTTGTCCGTTGAGATCCAAGGGCTAGTATTAAAGGCACATTAACGACAGTTAGCTGTTACTTTTTTTTCCCCCTTTTTTAACTTTAAAATGTATTAAAATTAATTTATATATATACAGAGAGCTTCTATTGAAGGGTCCCTCAAATTAGCTTATTTGAGGGACACTCTTATAGGGCCAACTCCATATTCTATTTCACTAATCCAAACCATCTATTTTGTAGATACTCATTCAAAGATCATTTTTACAAAAAGTCACTCAATTCGATATCATTTGACCACTCAATTGAATTATTGAAATTTAAGTACTTTCTGGAAGCACCGTGTTCATTGATTTTATATGACACAATTGGATATTGAAATGGTTTTCGATTTGTCTAATTCTTTGCAAAGATGATCTATGAATGTAGATTTAAAAAATAGATGATTTGAATTGTTGAAAAAAAATTTGTATAGGACCCTAAAGAGCGTCCCTCAATGGAAGGGGACTATATATATATATATAAAGGCGGATGTAGAGCCGGTGTAGCCGAAATAGGCCCCTTTTGATAGTGGGCCACCATGATTGACCAAGGTTAGTATTTGTTTGTACCGTATCTGACCCTCCACTCGTACAACGACACGTGGATCTTAGAAACTCGCCCAAGTACCCAAGGCCTCGGACAATCGGCATCGGCCACCGATGGCATTGTCTCAAAGCTACGAACAGTCATTACAGGCCCAGCTCGTCTACAATCGGCATCCCTTACCGATTGTAGAGAATCAACCTCGAAGTATCCGCCCAAAATATCTAAAGACTCGTGTCGACCTCAGAGGGTCCTCCCACGAGTCCCACATCGAAAAATGAGTACTAAGAGCATACAAAATGCCCTCTATAAATAGGCCCCTCCACTACAATACAGGGGTAAGACTTTTAAGCTTGACTTCTATACTTTTATATGGTCAACAACAAGAGCTCTTAAAAACAATCTTACTTGAGCATCGGAGGGTCTTAGGCTGGTTCCACACCGGTTCCATAGACCTCACGAACCTCAAACTATCTTCTATTTAGGATCTGCATCCAAGGACAAGAAGGATCTGCATCTATCACTCAATCGATCTGCTAGATCGCCCTCATCACTTGTAAGTTGCACTCATCTCTATCTGTTCAGATTTAGCGCCAACACATTCCAAAAGGAAAGGTCAAAGAC